TAAAACTTCAGTCTTGAATTGGAAGGCTATAAAAACCTAAATGTATAAGTCAAATAGCGCATCTTCAGATTTTCAACAGAATCTGTTCATTCATTTTGCTCCTTTTTGATCAATTAAGATAGGCGTTTTGCTTGTATGGAATTTCATGATAGGCGTTCTTCTTTGTATGGAACTTCATGATAGGCGTTTTTCTTTGTATGGAGGTCAGGTCTACCGCGGTCTCAGTTTTGCTTCTTTCTAACCAGGCTCTCCAATTAGAGCTCTTTTCCGGTCCAAGGGGTCTTTTCTGACAGCGCTGAAGAGCGAAATCAATAAATGGAGGTTTTCTTTCCATTTCGATGTCTTATATTTGACTGATTGATGAAAATGGGACGAGCGGTGTTGATTTTCATCAGCTCAAAAGCTCTTAGGCCACTTTCTTTTTTTTTTACTATTGTCTATCTCGACAGACTTTCATTTCTTCGCAACAGTGAGCTCAAGTGAAGCGATGAAAAAACCGACTATAACCGCATTTTGACTTCTGATTTTGAACTCAACCATGTTCGCTTCCGTTTGAAAATTACCTTGAGAGAAATATAGCTGCATAACGTTTATAGGAAATTTTGCAAAAATGACATGCATTCAAAATCCAATTCCTGCCTTCTTATTATGTAGACTTTTAAGAAAGCGAGACTGCTCGTATATCAGGGCGTGGTCTTAGATGTTCGGACTGCACTTTTAAGGCCACAAAAAAAATTTTGGTTGAATATTTGACTAAATAATCGAAAAACAAGGATATATATATTTTTTTCAGTTTATTCCCCCACATGCTACGCAAGATACAAAGGGCGTGTTTTTTGTCTCTTGGTGTTTTTTTAAAAGGACTAAAATACTGGCCTCAAAACATCTTGGAACGCATTTTTTTGCAGCTAAAGCGTGTTCTAAGAACGCATTTTATTGCGCGTTAATTATCCCAATTTGACCAATTTAGCTATTTTCAAACAAAACAAGACTGCTCGTATCAGGGCGAAGCCCTGAATGTTCCGACTGCCTTTTAAGGTTTATAGAGCACTAATAACATTAAAAAATTCAATGAAATAAAACAAAATGAAAATTTTTTTTCTTCTAAAATTTGAAATTTTTCTTATAAAAATCATACCCCCACACGCCATATAAAGTACAAAAGGATATATTTTGCTCATTGTAACAAACCATTTATGGCAAATAAGCTTCTTTCAACCATTTTGGAACGATTTCTAAGAAGGATTAACTCTCCGCTTACGCGTTATTAGCGCGAAATATATCGCGCGTTAATTGTCCCAAATTGGCCTAAATGGCAATCTTTAAACCCCCATAACTTTACAAAAAATAATCACAGGTGAAATATCTTTTCAAATTTGAGCTCAGGACAACAATACTTTTCGAATGATTAAAAAAATCCGTCAAAAATGGCTAATTAAAAAGTCGAAATTTGTCTGAAGAAAAAAAAACCCACCCCGAGCACAAATATTCCGTTACTTTCGTATCGAAAGTCGGAACAACAAGACTGCTCGTATATCAGGTCAAAGCATATCAGGACAAATTTGAAATGATTTTGTTTTGTGCGGGGTAATTCGCCAAGCATTAATAATTCGCGTTACGCTCGAAGCATTAAGAACAAATTCTTCAAAGCGCGCAAAATTTTGTCCAGATCATGACCAATTTGGCAATTTTCAAACGCCTAGAATTTTACAAAAAGTAATTGGAGATGAAAAATTGGTTCAATTTGATCTCAGGAAATAGACATCTTCAATTAGTACAAATTTTTTTTGTTGAAAACTATTATTTCAATCGGCGAAAATTGACTAAAATAAAAAACACATCATGCATAAATATTCCGTATTCTTTATAATTCGAAACATTAACTTTACAAAAACTGATAACAAGTGAAAATTTTTTGAAATTTGAGCTAAGGACAACAATTTTTTTCAGATGGCTATAAGAAATTTTGTCAAAATTTCTTACTCAAGAAGTCAAAACTTTTGATTGAAAAAAGACACCCCCAGCATAAGTTTTGAAAAGTCAAAACAAGGACGGAGTATTTTTGCACGGTGTGGTTTTTTTATTCAAGTAGTTTATTTAGACTTTAATTGCTAAATTTTTTAACGTTTTTTACCAACTGCTTTGTTTTTTTAAGCTCAAGCTTAAACTGATATTTCACCTTGGCGTTTAAAAAATGCCAATTCGGGACAATTAACGTGCAATTTTTTTCGTGCTAATATTACGTAAGCGGATATCTAATGCTTCTTTGAAAATGTTCTGAACTGAATTGGGGTAAGCAGCTATTTAGTCTATTTAATACTTTTTTAAATAGCTAAATATATCACCCTGTACTTTACAGGGTACACATGGATTGTTTTTTTAATAATAACTGAACAAAATACTTAAAAAATTTTTTCTGAAGTTTCATCAATTTTTGTTAAGCGAACTTTTTTTCATAGACTTTAAAAGGCATTTGGAATATCAGAGCTTCGGCCTGCTTTAGGCAGTCTTGTGTTAATTGAAAAACTTTTCGCATCACGCGTAAGCTGAACGTCACGTCCGCCCTATAACGGTTGAAATAATTTGAAAACAACAATTAAAAGTTCATAGTAACGTCTTCATTTCACAAAATTATTGTTCCGACTTTTGATACGAAAGTAACGCAATATTTGTGCTCGGGGTGGGGTTTTTTTTCTTCAGACAAATTTCGACTTTTTGACTAGCCATTTTTGACGGAATTTTTTTATATTATTCGAAAGGTATTGTTGTCCTGAGCTCAAATTTGAAAAGATATTTCACCTGTTATCATTTTTCGTAAAGTTACGGGGGTTTAAAGATTGCCATTTTGGCCAATTTGGGACAATTAACGCGCGATATATTTCGCGCTATTAACGCGTAAGCGGAGAGTTAATCCGTCCTAGAAATCGTTCCAAATTGGTTGAAAGAAGCCTATTTGTCAAAAATGGTTTGCTACAAGGAACAAAATCTATCTTTTTGTACTTTATATGGCGTGTGGGGGGATGATTTTCATTTAAAAAATTTCAAATTTTAGAAGAAAAAACATTCATTTTATTTTATTTCATTTAATTTTTTTTTCGTATTACTGCTGCTCAATAAACCTTAAAAGGCAGTCGGAACATTCAGGGCTTCGCCCTGATACGAGCAGTCTTGTTTTTCTTCAATTCAAAATTTTTGATCGGATTGAAAGGCCGCTTACGCATTTTTAGAACAAATTATCTAGAGTGCTAATTATCCCAAGTTAGCCAAATTGATAATTTCCATGAGCATAATTTAAAAGAGGAACATCTAAAGCTTTCAGATGTTATTTAAATTGAGTTTAACAATGGCTAGTTGAGTAGTTGAAATATGTCTGAAGAAAAAACCATACCTAAAACAACTATTTCGTAGCTTTTTTTCAGAAGACTGAACAAAAAATTAAGGGGATAAGCAATGCTGCTCGTATCTCAGGGCAAAAATTTGAATATTTTGACTGCAATTTAAGGATTGATAACATAATCGGAAAAAAATTAACTTGCAATTTTTTTATATTTTTCTGCATTTTTTTCTTGCTAACTTTTTTTTCCATTTTAATCCTCTCACGCTTGATAAAATACATGAAGGTGTATTAAGCGTCTCTTATGCTAATAATAAGCACAAATGGTTTGCCTTAATTCAATTTGGAACGATTTAATCTGCCGCTTCTGCTTTTTATGTGAACGCAATATGTCGCGCGTTAACTATTCCAAATTGACCAAATTAACAATTTTCAAACCCCCATAACGTTACAAAAAACGATCGCTGGTAAACTTTTCTGACATCTGAGCTTCAGACATCAGCAAACTTCAGATCAGATAAAAAAATTAGTCAAAACGCTTAGTTAAAAAATCGAAAATTAACTGAAAAAAAAACATCCGTCCCGAGCATAAATAATCCGTACTTTCTTCAAAAATGGGAACAAAAAAGGCTTATGCTTTGCAGCTGGACGGAAAAAAAGTGACATTTGTGCATCAAAATGATCGTTTGTACCGTGCTTTTTTGTGCTGAAAGAAGAAAAAGATCGTTAGTCTCTCTGAAAAGTTGGGTTTTTCCTATTATAGCCCCTCAGCTCAGTCACAAAAACTTATCATCCTCTTTACGGTGAGCTTAGCATTGTGTGGGGGCTGTAAAATGCTTGAGGAGTTTCAATGAGAAAGAACCGAAAAGTCAAAAGAGTTATCAGTTTATAACGCTCGCGTTGAACTTCGCAGTTTTTCTTCAGCGAAATACTGCAAACTCGTATTTTTTGTACTTCCTTTGATTTTCTTCAACTTTGGCAAATTTTTGAGTTCGCGGTGTTTTTTCTCCAAAATAGGTTTTGTAAGCAATCTTCAAGTGAGTAAAAAGTCATTTGAGTTCTTTGAGAAAAAAACACGGTCTTAAGTTTTCGATTCCTTAATTAGAACAGTTTTTTAAAAAATATTTTCGGCCCAAAATTCGATTTCAGCAAGTAAATGAACAAAAATTTGATGTAGACAAGAAAATAAAAAACTATAATGGCTTAAGCACGAAAAAGACAAAAAGCCAAAAATTCTTCAAAAATTGGTCATTCTATGGTTAATTTTGAGCAGAAAAACAAGGCACTTTTACCATGGCTCGTTCTCCTGTCATTGCGATTAAAATAATCAGTAATTGTGTTTGCATATTTACGCATTTTGAGTGGGTCATCGTAGATTTAGAACAAAAAAATCGCCTCGCTTTAACAAAAAAATTGAAAAACATCTCTTTTATGCAATTCAATTGCATGGAAACAATGCTTGTCGTACAATTCCATACTATAAAAAAGGCCTATTTAGCTATTTTCAAGCCATTTTTTTGTCAATGAAAAGGAATATAATTGTTTCCAAAACACTTTCCCATGCTATGAAATTATTTGAAATGCAAGTTTTGTGCGTGCCCACCGAAGCAAGATGGAGGGGAATGATGAGCTGAAATTTTCGAACTCTAAATAGGTTTTTTTATAGGTGCGCAATTTGAAGAGTATGGATGTGACGGGAAAAGCAGACCCTTATGTAGTCGTTAAGCTGATGTACAATGGAAAAGTCCACTTACGACACCGCACCCAGAAGTTCTACAACACACTGGACGCTACTTTTGATGAGTCATTCCCGTTCCAGCTACCCCCAATTCAAAACAGTCCACGTCTGTTAGGTCTAGAGGTCAAGGTCAAGGCAAGTAGAACTCAAGGTCAAGTTACAACCAGGAGGTGACCAATATGGACATTTTCAATTAGGCCTCGACACATTCATGTACCTTCATAATTCCTCTAGAAAAAATGTAGCTTCGTTATTTCTGAAGAAAAAATGTAGCCTCGCAATTTTCTGAAAAAAAAAGTATTTTTCACTAATTCACATTTTATTTGGGCGAGTTATTTTCTCAACGCCCCCTCATGCGTCCGAGAGATTCCACAAACAGTACAAAAGGGAACGGAGTTAATGAAGGCGAAAGTTATTTTTAAAATTTGTTTGCTTGCCGTCCGTTAAGGCTGAAGAAATTGCTATTATAATCATATCCCTTGAGATTGATTGAATGCGGTTGACCAGCAAAAAATAAAAAACATGTTTTCAACGCCTTAATGATAAAAAAACTTTGCCAAAGAAGTTTTTTTCAGTATGGGCAACCGATTACCGCTTAAAAGTTAGATCAGCCATTCAATGGTATTTTTGATAGCAGACAAAAATCGAGACTTTTGGGCGTTAGTTTTTCAAGCGTAAATATAGATAATAGTCTCCATTTCCTCGAAAGCAAAATATTCCTTTGAACTGCTTAGTCAATTTCCGTTTTAATTTTTTTACCATGGAGCTCATTGATTGTTATTTAATCTATGTCTACGAAATTGTCTCTTGAGCGATAAATAGAATCGGTGATGCCTCTCCTCTCAATTTTGTTAAAGTAGATATTTAGTTTTGGGTAAAAATAAACATTTTATGATTTTTTGCACTTATTATATATATGGTCCTCAGTTTTTGATACTATTGTTTTTCTCGCCAGGAGCCTCTGACGCCATTTGAGACAACTAATGGTCATTAAACGTTATTGACATCCGATTAAAAATCAGGTTGTCTTATGAATAAACTGTAATGTGATCTGGTTTCAAATGTAATAGTTAAATCTACTATCACAAAATGGAGATTTGAGATTTTAAAGTGGATAGTAAACGTTCACCACAAATCAGTGATATTAAGAAATAGAATCAGCTCCGTCCAACTTTTTACGCCATCAAATTTTAGCCAATCAAAAATTAAAAGAATCTTAATTAGCACCAATTTTTCCAAAAGCATATTCGGCGCGAATATGGAATAATTTTGAACAATCGATCGGCGTTTTGCCTAAACTGTTTATATATTAGTCTAGAGAAGTCAATATAGCACATTGTTTTCAAGAAGGAAACAGGCTTGATCTTTCTTTACACAACTCGTAACATATAACAAATCCCACCTTAGAAGATTACCAAAAAGCCAGTTACCAGCCTATCGAGTGGTGTCTTTATTAGCAAACAACAAAGAATACATATGAATTTCCAACTACCAAAATTTTTTTTATCAAAAAATCGTTTTCACGAATGTATAAATCCCGTATGCGATACAGAATTGAAGTTTGACTACTTTTCTGATAATTCAATATATTATTTTAAATTTTTATTCTAAAGCAGAATATGATTGAAGAATGAACGAACCGAACCCTATTTTTGAGCTTTTTCATTTTGTGTCTCGGCATTTTTTCTGTGTTTCCTTACCTAAATTTAATTTTTTTTTTGAAAATGCGTCAAGAAGTTCTTGATTGCTCATTTTAATTCAATAATTCGTAAGCATGAGAATTGCCTCTTTTGGGTTTTAGTCAATAACTTAAATAAAAAAAAAGTTCCTAACCTAACCAAGTTTAAATTGCTTTTTTCTTTCCGGAGAAGGCCTGTTTTTTTGCAAACTTAAGCAACTTCGAAGTTTCATTTTTTTCCAGTTTCATTAATTCGGTTTTTTTATCGGTTATTACGCATCAGTAAAAAATTTTGCTCTATCGTTTGAATATAGTTTTTCCAACTGATTAAAACTTTTTTCGAGTGAACACTTGACGCAATTGGCTTGTAATAGACGCATTTGAGATTTCGTGGAGTTTTTTTTTATAAAATGCAACTTGACACTCGGTTTGTTATCCATATAAAGTCCTATTTTTTTGGGTTCGTTTTTACAACTAGAACAATCATTGAAGTCAATTTTCGTCCAAATTTTTAATTTGTTGTTTTCTTTTGGTTGAAAACTATTTTTTTTTGGTTTTGCCAGGTTTTAACAACTTCTATATCATTTGCCTTTGCGTCTTTTTTTACAGAAGAACGACACAAAAGCTATAATCTTTATCACGGTGGGTTGATTTTGAGCTCACACAACCATTCTGCAGATCATTGTTCTAGATTAGCAAAAGAATGGCCCCAAAACTGACCGTTTGTGGAAATATATCAGCCATAGGTTTCGAGTTCGGTACCAAACTCTCTTCTACTACATATGGGGAAGAAACATTGAGACATATTGATATCAAAACTTCCGCGTTTCCACGTAACCCATAAATTCTACATTTTTTTAAACCAGAAATCAGTATTTAACGGTGTCAAAAGCTTTTAGAAGCTGAATCATTGAACCAGCCAATGAATCTTTGTTGCTTAAAAAAGGCCCAATACATTCGTTTAATTCAGTTCTTGCTTCAACTATGCTTCGTTTCCGGCGAAGGCCAAGCTGTCTTTCTCGCGACTTGATGCTTCTGTAAAAACCAATTAAAAGTTTTGTTTTCTTTTTTTTTCATCGGTTTTTGCGAGAATTGAAAATGAATCGGTTCAAGTAACGTTGTTTAACTGGGTTGTCTGTGGTTCAATTTTGTGAAAAGGACGAATTTTTCCAATTATAAATTAGTGAATTTTTGACTGGGGTTGATATCCATTCACAAATAAATGGATTCTGTTTTTTCATAAAAAGCTTTGCTCGTAATCTTGCTGACTCATCTTGGCTTCAAAACCAGTTTTCAGTGTTCAGTGGCATTAATTTTTCTCAATACATTGTTTTAGTCGTTTTTGTTTCATTGGGTCTAAGTTGCAGAAAGTTTGTGCTGCTCAGATATTTTTTTTTCGAAATGATGAAAATTGAGAATTGAAATCCTTAGGTCCATTTTGTTTTCAGTGGTTGAGTTGTCTTTACAGCGGCAGAAATAATTTTTTTTTACTGCGAGCATTTTTACTAATTTTATGACCCAATTTTTCAATCGATTTTTTTGAATGTATTTTTCGGCAACTTCTTCAATAAAAAACTACAGTTGTGAAAACTATCCACATGCTTCAATAAATCGAATTGTTATCTCTTAAGTTTCTGTTAATTAATTCAAGAACCACTAATTTACTTATCTAATAAGACTGTTTTCTAAACGTTTCAATTGCTTTTTCTATATTCTGATTGGCGCCTCATTGCTTTGTTGCTGTTCAGATAATTTTTCTCTGATTTATTCAAATTGAGAAGTCAAATCTTCAAATGTCCCTTGCTGCTGAGAATTCAATTATTCCTTGTTGCGGTTCAGATAATTTTTCTTTGATTTATTCAAATTGAGAGTTCAAATCTTCAAATGTTTCTTGTTGCTGAGATTTCAATTGTTCCTTGTTGCTGTTCAGATAATTTTTCTCTGCTTTACTTAAAAAGAGAATTCAAATCTTCAGGTGACGAATAAGGCTTGATAAACTGCTGAATAATTTTGGTTTTTAATTTCCATAATTTTGAAAAAAAAATTGACTTTGGTTCTCTTCAAATTTTAAGTGTGGAATTCGGTTTTGCAACAATATAGTTTAACCTGCTAATTTATTTTCCAGAAACTTTTTTTAGAAAAAAGAAAATTTTTTTTGCAGCGGCGGTAACTACTCTTTTTCTGGTAAAATAATCTTTTTCTGATTGGTTTTTTATAGCGCTGATTGAAAATATTTGTAGCAAAAGCCTGTAGACAATTTGAGGTTTTCAGATAATTTATGCTATTTGGTGTCAAATGAGAGCTAAAACATCAGTTGACGAAAAACTTGTGATAATTTGCTGAAGGTTTTTGTTTTTTTCTCTATAATTACACTGTAATTTTTTTCTTTGAGTTTTTGATTGGATTTTACTCAAGTTTGAAAGTGTATAGTTTTTGTTCTGCAACAAACCAGTGAAAAACGATTCTTTAAATTATATTTTGGGAGTTAATATGTTTGCTTTCTATGGATGGTTTATCTTTATGGCGGCAGTATATACTCTACTTTTGTTACAAGCATGTTTAACTAGATTTGTGACCCAATGTTTTTTTTTCAAATTTTCTATCTGAACAATTTTTTCAGTTTTTGTAATGTAAGAGTCGGAATGTCCGCAATGCTAGCAATCAGAAAAATCCAGTTGTCATTTGTGTCCATATTTTTTAGTAATTAGATATAATTATCCCAGAATAATTTTTGTCTTCTCATCCCAGAAACAGTAACAAACTATCCTTTTTTTCGTTTTCTTAATGTTTTGGTTGCCTTTTTTATGTTGGTCGGTTCGTCAGTACTCTGATCAAAAGTGTTTGTAGAAAAACTAACTGAGCGATGAGCCGATATATTATATTAAGGCCCTCTAACTAGGTTTCTCTGAAATTTTTAGTTTTCAGTGGTTTAGTTGTCTTTACAGCGGCAGAAATAATTTTTTTTTACTGCGAGCATTTTTTTTTATTTTATGACCCAATTTTTCAATCGATTTTTTTGAATGTATTTTTCGGCAACTTCTTCAATAAAAAACTACAGTTGTGAAAACTATCCACATGCTTCAATAAATCGAATTGTTATCTCTTAAGTTTCTGTTAATTAATTCAAGAACCACTAATTTACTTATCTAATAAGACTGTTTTCTAAACGTTTCAATTGCTTTTTCTATATTCTGATTGGCGCCTCATTGCTTTGTTGCTGTTCAGATAATTTTTCTCTGATTTATTCAAATTGAGAAGTCAAATCTTCAAATGTCCCTTGCTGCTGAGAATTCAATTATTCCTTGTTGCGGTTCAGATAATTTTTCTTTGATTTATTCAAATTGAGAGTTCAAATCTTCAAATGTTTCTTGTTGCTGAGATTTCAATTGTTCCTTGTTGCTGTTCAGATAATTTTTCTCTGCTTTACTTAAAAAGAGAATTCAAATCTTCAGGTGACGAATAAGGCTTGATAAACTGCTGAATAATTTTGGTTTTTAATTTCCATAATTTTGAAAAAAAAATTGACTTTGGTTCTCTTCAAATTTTAAGTGTGGAATTCGGTTTTGCAACAATATAGTTTAACCTGCTAATTTATTTTCCAGAAACTTTTTATAGAAAAAAGAAAAACTTTTTTTGCAGCGGCGGTAACTACTCTTTTTCTGATTGGTTTTTTAAGCGCTGATTGAAAATATTTGTAGCAAAAGCCTGTAGACAATTTAAGGTTTTCAGATAATTTTTGCTAATTGGTGTCAAATGAGAGCTAAAATATCAGTTGACGAAAACTTGTGATAATATGCTGAAGGTTTTTGTTTTTTTCTCTATAATTACACTGTAATTTTTTTTCTTTGAGTTTTTGATTGGATTTTACTCAATTTTGAAAGTGTGTAGTTTTTGTTCTGCAACAAACCAGTGAAAAACGATTCTTTAAATTATATTTTGGGAGTTAATATGTTTGCTTTCTATGGATGGTTTATCTTTATGGCGGCAGTATATACTCTACTTTTGTTACAAGCATGTTTAACTAGATTTGTGACCCAAAGTTTTTTTTTCAAATTTTCTATCTGAACAATTTTTTCAGTTTTTGTAGGGTAAGAGTCGGAATGTCCGCAATGCTTGCAATCAGAAAAATCCAGTTGTCATTTGTGTCCATATGTTTTAGTAATTAGATATTATTATCCCAGAATATTTTTTGTCTTCTCATCCCAGAAACAGTAACAAACTATCCTTTTTTTCGTTTTCTTAATGTTTTGGTTGCCTTTTTATGTTGGTCGGTTCGTCAGTGCTCTGATCAAAAGTGTTTGTAGAAAAACTAACTGAGCGATGAGCCGATATATTATATTAAGGCCCTCTAACTAGGTTTCTCTGAAAATTTTAGTTTTCAGTGGTTGAGTTGTCTTTACAGCGGCAGAAATAATTTTTTTTACTGCGAGCATTTTTACTAATTTTATGACCCAATTTTTCAATCAATTTTTTTGAATGTATTTTTCGGCAACTTCTTCAATAAAAAACTACAGTTGTGAAAACTATCCACATGCTTCAATAAATCGAATTGTTATCTCTTAAGTTTCTGTTAATTAATTCAAGAACCACTAATTTACTTATCTAATAAGACTGTTTTCTAAACGTTTCAATTGCTTTTTCTATATTCTGATTGGCGCCTCATTGCTTTGTCGCTGTTCAGATAATTTTTCTCTGATTTATTCAAATTGAGAAGTCAAATCTTCAAATGTCCCTTGCTGCTGAGAATTCAATTATTCCTTGTTGCGGTTCAGATAATTTTTCTTTGATTTATTCAAATTGAGAATTCAAATCTTCAAATGTTCCTTGTTGCTGAGATTTCAATTGTTCCTTGTTGTTGTTCAGATAATTTTTCTCTGCTTTACTTAAAATGAGAATTCAAATCTTCAGGTGACGAATAAGGTTTGATAAACTGCTGAATAATTTTGGTTTTTTATTTCCACAATTTTGAGAAAAAAAAATTGACTATGGTTCTCTTCAAATTTTAAGTGTGGAATTCGGTTTTGCAACAATATAGTTTAACCTGCTAATTTATTTTCCAGAAACTTTTTATAAAAAAAAGAAAAACTTTTTTTGCAGCGGCGGTAACTACTCTTTTTCTGGTAAAATAATCTTTTTCTGATTGGTTTTTTATAGCGCTGATTGAAAATATTTGTAGCAAAAGCCTGTAGACATTTTGTAGTTTTCAGATAATTTTTGCTAATTGGTGTCAAATGAGAGCTAAAATATCAGTTGACGAAAAACTCGTGATAATTTGCTGAAGGTTTTTGTTTTTTTTCTCTATAATTACACTGTAATTTTTTTTCTTTGAGTTTTTGATTGGATTTTACTCAATTTTGAAAGTGTGTAGTTTTTGTTCTGCAACAAACCAGTGAAAAACGATTCTTTAAATTATATTTTGGGAGTTAATATGTTTGCTTTCTATGGATGGTTTATCTTTATGGCGGCAGTATATACTCTACTTTTGTTACAAGCATGTTTAACTAGATTTGTGACCCAATGTTTTTTTTTTCAAATTTTCTATCTGAACAATTTTTTCAGTTTTTGTAATGTAAGAGTCGGAATGTCCGCAATGCTTGCAATCAGAAAAATCCACTTGTCATTTGTGTCCATATGTTTTAGTAATTAGATATAATTATCCCAGAATAATTTTTGTCTTCTCATCCCAGAAACAGTAACAAACTATCCTTTTTTTCGTTTTCTTAATGTTTTGGTTGCCTTTTTTATGTTGGTCGGTTCGTCAGTGCTCTGATCAAAAGTGTTTGTAGAAAAACTAACTGAGCGATGAGCCGATATATTATATTAAGGCCCTCTAACTAGGTTTCTCTGAAATTTTTAGTTTAAAAAATGAAGGCTCGTCGAACCTGTTTCAAAATCCAGGTTAGTCTTAAGATCATTGACATCTTCTAGATCAAATATTCTTGGAGTTATTCAGTCTAGACATTGTGTTGTTGTTTTTAAATATGTCAATGTCGATATCGCCGTACGATTTTTTCTTGCTTTTGGTTGTTTTGTGGATGATACTTAAATTTCGACATGCCATTCAAGAAACTTTCTGGTTTCATTTGTGTTGCTTTGTATGCTCCTGTATACTGCTTTGTATACTGCAGTTTTCCCTTAACTGCTCTGTATACTGTAGTTTTTGATTATTTTTGGTTTCAGTCTGCGATAAAATTTTCTCAGATCTCATTTTTGTTAGAGTAGTGGTTTAGATTGCTCTCGTTTCAATGTTTCAAAAATTTGTTGTTGTCACATTTGTGTTTTTTTTTGTTAATAGGATGTGACGTAGTACGTTTAGATGATTAGTGATCAAATAATCTGAATTGAGCGGAAACATTACAAAATGACATTACATAGCTTGATTTTTCCGTTATTTGTTTGTCGAACAGTAACAGCAGAGAGTGAGGCCAAGCAGAAAATTGCAACAATATCTTCCTAAACTATAGAACCAAAAATTTTTTTTCAAATTTGTATTTGGTAATTGAAACCAAAACTCGAAGAAAATATGCTAAAGAAGAGGAGCTTGAAATACATTTTTTTCGTCACTGTGGTTTTTTATTAGGCAAGGCATCTAAGAAAAAGGCTAAATAGTTACTTAACTAATTGCAGTACATAATTACTAGAAGGCACGAAACATTTACTTCATGAGAAAAAATCAACTTCTAATAATCAACTTTTATGAAAGTTTTGTTTTCATTTACTAAAAAATCAGTTAGATTGCTCTTCAACAAAACAAAAATTGACATTTGCGGAAAAATTCAACCAATTTTTAGGTGTATTGCAATTTTTAGGTGTATTGCAAGAAAACCACTACAGCCTTGAGTTATTTGCTCATTTTTCGGCTGGAGTCTGTACATAAGCGCTGAAAAAGAAAGGTAACCATGTTCTACCAGACGATTATTATACGCTGGCGCCGGTCTCATGGGAGAACAACGAGATGCTTGACATCGCTTACCCCATTCCAACTGTTTATCATTCTTAATTCAGTTTCCGCCAAAATAGGTTAAAACTATATAAAGTTGTGATTTTTTTTGATAACTATATTAAAATCAAAAGATCAGAATAGATAGATCAGAAAAGATCAGAGCCCAATAGATCAGATTTTGACTACTTTTTAATGAAAAGCGTATCAAGTTATTATGAAATTGTATTGTTTTTTAATTCACATCATTGTCTTTTTACTTCTTCATTGCATGCAATTGTTGCGTACTTCTGCTCATCAGGCAAAAAACTTGGGTTGAGACGTTTCACACAATCTTCGCCTCGTAATACCACAGCAAGACGTTTGTTATTAAAATCGTTCCGCTTCGCCGGTAATCTATTATCGACTTTGTCCTTTACTGGCACATAGGTTGGATACATATCAATCCTCTTGTCTTTAAATCTTACTACACAATTTTTTTTGACGTAACTTATACTAGACTTGCTGTCTCGTTTCGTAAATTTGCTTCCGGCGGTGGCTTTTTTGCTGATGTAATTCATCGGACCAACTTTTTGTTTTTGTCTTCCAAATATTCTTTTTCGAATTTTGTTGACGGTGTTTTTATCGTTTCATAGTTTAGCAAAAAATGATGCTATTTATTTTTTTTGAGATCCCTTGATTTTCAATTCCAATTCAAAAAGCTTCAAAGTTTCCTAGTACAAAAATTACCTTCTCGCGATCATCAAAATCTGGTTTTTTATATATACCCTTTTTGGTACTGATACGTTTCTTTTATTGCTCAACATTCCTAATTAAGTTACTTTTGTCGAGTGACACCATTTTTTTTTGCGACATATGAGCGTTTTCTTGCGTCAGTACTTTCACATATATCAATTTTTTGCAGTTAAAATTGGTCAAACTGTTGTAGATATGAAGCTAGAGTCCAAGTAAGAGCTCGTTTTCACGCCATGGCTCGGGATCGAATAAACGACCTGATTAAACTGACAAATTATAATTAATCGATTGTTCTGAAATTTTTTGTTATATAAACCAAGCACGTGTGATATTTATACATAACCTTGCAGAGCAAATATATCACAATACCCATATTTGTCAGGGCTCTTTTTCCTCCTCCTCCTCCCCCCCCCCCCCCTCCCCCCACCTCACACGAGTTTCAATATATTAGTGTAACGAGTGGTTTTACGAGGTTGTGTATGGTGACCAAATATGTTTGTTGTGGCCTTATTAGTCCTTTTAATTTTTTATTACAATCGGACAATGTGGTCAACAAACTTACATGTAAATTTTTGCAGGTGGGGGGAAAAAGGAAAAAGAGCCTTTGTCAGTGGTTGTGGGGGAGGGAGAGGTGGTAAAACAGTCGTGATCCGGATTTTAAAAAAAAATCGAAAGAAGTTGTCTCTGTCGAGAAAATAGAGCTGTATGGACTACATTTTCAGAGTCTATTGACCGAATCAGTGAATAAGTTTCAGTTCATTTTGTTGCTTCAGGACTACGACAAGTTGAAGTGGGACGACGAGATTGGTCGCATATCTCTGGGCTTCAGCAGCGGCAGGTCCACTGAAGAACATTGGAAGGAGACGTTTGCCAACCCGGGCAAGTCAGTCACCCGGTGGCACGACATCAAGAGCAAATCCGTTGACTGAGAAAAAAATAGAAAAAATATTCAGTTCTGGTTCATTGTCTGTTCTTTACCAGTTTCCCCGCTTCTTTTCTGTGATTATATTTAAAACTTGGTGTAATATTGCACTTGAAAAATTAATTATCCCGGTGTAAAATAAAAAAAATCGAAATCTTTTAGCAAAATGAACAAAGTAAAATTTAAGGGACAAAATCAGGAGGGAAGAAGCGGGAAAAATCATTTTTTAAATATGGGATGTTTCGAGCGAACAAGAGATACTAAATTTTCAAAGTTGAATAAAATCAATTTTAACCAAATATTCAAACCAAATGTTCTGAAATCTACTCGAAAGCTCAGGGCATGTCCCTGATGTGATAATATCAGTTTTCAAATTATAATTTGTTTGTAATCAGAGCTTTTTGATTTGAGATGATAAATAGTTTTCAATTAAAATTAAAGGATTATACATTTACGAATTTTATTTGAAACGGTCAATTTAGTCTACCATTGTACTTAATATGTCTCCCAGAAATGAAAAATTAAGTCTCCCAATTGAATTACAGATTTAGGCAGGCGTAAACGACTTTGTTGAAAAGTTGATGCAATTATATGTTCAAGCCAACGTCAGTTTCAAAGTGATTTAACTGAAAAACCGATTCAGTGTGAGCTCATTTCTGACGAACACTCGACAAAACTGGAAGCAAAAGTTTGTTTCACGTTCCAGAAAGTCCATGTAAAATAGTGCCAAACAACAGTTTTACACAATTTTTGCTTTGATTTGATCAAGTAAAATCTATACAGATATGTTTTGCCGTTTCTCGTGAGCGCAAGGAGGCGGAGAGGCTTCAATGAATATTAATTTGAGGTTTCCGCGAGTTGCTCTTTTCCGACTTTCCAGCTGTTTTGCGACTGTGTTCCATGTAATGCGATTTTATTTTTGAGCTAAGGTTCAGTTGAAAATGGCAAACCCTAATTACTGTAGGTGATCTCAAAAAAAAAAATTGCGGATCCCACAATATATACACAAAGCTGATTTGAAATAACCGAACTCAAAGAACAAAAATGAAAAAAAAAATTAAGCGTTTATCTCAAAATCGGTTGACAAAAAATTATTGATATGAACAAAAAATGCTTACCAGAAACACCATAGTGCAAAAATTCTATTCAAAACTGTGCCTCGAAAATGGCTCAATTTCGGATTCTATAAATCAAAAGATATTCCTAAACTACGTTGTCTAATGCCTAAAAAGTTATATCAAAAAGAGTCTTTTGAAAAGAATTTTCTATTTTCCCAAAAACGTATTTAAAGGTCTAATCGCAAAATGTTCATAAATTTTTCCTAAAAATCAAAAACTGGTATTCTATATTGTCTATATTGTTAAAAATAGATATTTTTTGGGAATCAAAAAACGTTTATTGCAAAATCAGAAGATTTAAGCCCTAATAGAAACAATTGACCTTTGACCTTTGAAGCTCATTTTGATTTTTTCTTCAGCAATGGAGTGGTTGTTACAGTGTTACTTTTAATTGACGACAAGGAGCCAATTTCTACTCAACTTTGATACAAAATTTTACATTCAAACTTAAATTTCACAAAGTAAAATGAACGATATTAAATCTGTTTAAGCCTTCAGTTTTTTTTGTAAATCTGTTTTGCCTAAAATCAACTAACTTTTAGAGAAAAACGCAAAAAAAATTCCATTTTTCTTATTTTGCAATATCAAAATTACAAATTGTTCAATCAATTCTTTTGTATTTAGTAGTTTTTGATTCCCCGTACTCAAGTTGTAATAGATTTCCAGTCCTTGTCAGTACTAATTTGCAATAAAAAATTTGCAATACAAAATTAAAAATTCTTCAATCAATTGTTTTGTATTTTGTAGTTAATGATTCCCCGTACTCAAGTTTTAATATGTTTCCAGGTCTGGTCACTGATATTGCATAACTATCACGTTGTCAATACTGACACAGCTGTCACATAAATGCCCCGACGTGGGATTATCGCAGTTCTGAGCAGTTCTAATTTCTGCGTCACGAGATCTGCATCAAAAATTACCAGATCTGCATCCCGCATGATTAGATCCGCATCATGCATTACCAGATCTGAGCAGCAAATGAATATCTGATTAAATAAGACTCGCATAATTTGACATAACTCAGCACCAAAAACCAAAAAGCATAAAAAAGCTCAAACAAATTAGCACTCAATTGAGTTTTACCATAATAAAGTTAACAAAGAAATAGCTGGAACCTGATCTAAACTACATTTTATAATTGGATAAATTGGATATTTTACCACTGTAAAATATTTAATATTAACCAATTATAATCCATCTAACTAACAACCCACTTATTTGTGAGTGCTGAAATTATTTGTAATTTCAGCACCAGAGAGATTTCAATTTAACTTAGAAATTAGTTGCCTCTCCAAGAGAACTTCAGCAGCTGCAATAAGCCAGTATACTCTAGATCTATTGAGCCTAGCAGAGACTAGTTAAACACCCTGAGACTAGTAGATATAAGAGTAAGATTAGGATCGGTATTAGACTAAGAAGTTGCACGAATCTATCCGGCCGAAAATAAGATAGCGTGACGAGCAGACGGTGTACCCTATCCGAAATTACTCTATGAGTTAACCACATCGGTCCTAACTCATAGCGGCAAATGTGTGAACGTGCAAATTAAGAAGAAATAAGTCTTTTCTTTTCATTGGGCACACATTTAATTTACCGCCACGCGTTAACGAAAGTAACAAAATATTTGTGCTCGGGGTGGGTTTTTTTCTTCAGACAAATTTCGGCTTCTTAACTAGCCTTTTTTGACGGATTTTTTTTTATATCATTCAAATACTATTGTAAATTTGCTGAACCTACATTTGAAAGTATATATCACCTGTGATCATTTTTGTAATGTTATGGAGGTTTAAATATTGCCGTTTTGGCCGATTTGGGACAATTAACGCGCGATACATTTCGCGCTATTAACGCGTTAGCAGAGATTTAATCCTTTTTAGAAACCGTTCGAAATTGGTCAAGGAAGCTTATAGGCCTTAATTCATTTGATAATAGGAGCAAAATTTTTTTATTTTTTTTTAATATGGCGTGTGGCGAACGTTTTTTCAGAAAATCTCAATTTTTTTAAAGAAAACTTAGTTTTATTTTTTTTACATTTAAATTTTCCGTGTTATTACTGCTCGATAGAACTTAAAAGGCAGTCGGAAAATTCAAAGCTTCGACCTGATACGAGCAGTCTTGTTGTCTTTTATTTCATTTTATTGCCGTTTTCTTGGGTACATGTGTACGAAATAGGGGTCTAGGACAACAAGCTGACGGGACTTCAAGCCGAAGGGACTTCAAGCCGAAGGGACTTCAAGGCGAAGGGACTTCAAGCCGAGGGGACTTCAAGCAGAAGCTAAAACTTAACAGGAATCTCAAGACACTAATTTAGCATCTGTAAAACGTTATGCTTTTCAAAAGTTTTGGCAAGTTTAGTCCATAATAAGCGTAATTCTGACAATGCACCACTTATGATTGGCATCCGTTAATAACAGCAACCGGTTTCTGAAATGCATAAATTATAAACATGAAAAACGCCTTCAATGTCTGGCACCCACGAAATAGACCTCTTTCTATATTCGACTCCGTTATCTTGGCATCACTTTCAATTAAAAAAAAAATTTACCGTGTTTATTTACTCTATACCTTACTTCTTTTCTACTCTCGTCTGTTTTTAAACCATCACATTTGGTTCCTGGTTCCACATTGTTAGTCACCCATTGGTATCACAATACCCCAACCCCCAACTTTCAAAGGTCATTTTGATTTTAATGAATTAAGATTGTGTTTAGAAAATCAGTAAAAGTTGATGAAATTTTTTGATAATATGGTTTTATCTTTTATGATCTCGTTTTTTGAACAGTATCTTGTTATCAAAAATTAACACGCGAGTCAACCGACCGCAAGAAAGCAACTATAATAATGTTGGATGAAACCCCTCTGCGCCCACGGGCCTCTCTCCCGCCCCCATCCGCCCCTGTAAAATTTTTGAATTTTGATTACATTATGTCTTCTGAGTCTTTCTTGGAAAACTTTGACGGTAATAAGCTATTGTTTTACTTAGGTTAGCTATCACAAACGATGAAGGTTTTCGATTCCATTCAGTCAACGGACATGACAGTTTTCACTTGGATAGGTTAAAAACTTGTTTTGAAACACATTATATAAAACTACTCCTATGTTATCTCCTATAACATTTCTAAGAAAAGTATTTTGAAACATTATATTTGTTTGCGAAAAATTTTTTGGCGCTCCCTCAGTCTTATCTGATCTGAAACTAAGTAAATACTTGCAATATCATCCCTAACTCCGAGTCCCTATAAAAACACAATCAATTGTTTCGTCCATAAGCAAAAAATGGACATGTAGTAGGAAAGTTACATTTTTAATTTTTAATTTGTTTTAGATAGCCAATAGCCAAAGCCGTACTAATGCTAATGATGCTTCTCATAATCAAAATCGAAAATTGATACTTTGGAAAAGAAAACTGCATGGTCAGAAACTTGACTAAAACTGTGCGTTCTGCAGATGTACCATATATGTCTTTTGATGCAAAAAGCAATATGAATTTTGAATTGATTTCCTAGACCTTGTTCTTTTTTGAATCTATAGAACAAGTTTTAAAGAAAATACAAAGAGTGTTATAGTTTAATAAATAGTTTTGCTTAAGTTTTTTGCTCTCCCATTGAAAGGAGTAGATTAATTGTCAGTCAGTTCTGATGTCGATCAGCCAAGTCTAGTCATCTATGTACCAGATCTGGTCATCTGCCTACCAGATGTGGTCATCCGATGATGAGATCTGGTCATCTGCCTACCAGATCTGGTCATCTGTCAACAAGATCTGATAATGTCTGATGCAGATCTGATCAGAAATGCATGCAAGCGAACTTATCAGATCTGATGCAGGTATGTAGCAGTTGTGCCCATGCATAAAATAATATGTCAAAGATGTGATGCAGACCGAAAAAACGTTTTGGTGTTCAGATATGGCCCAGGGGAAAAACTTCAGCACGAATCATTTTAAAACAGAATAAACTGGAAATGACCAAAAAATG